AAGTTAACTGTTCCGAAAAGATGAAAAGGCGATCTAGAGCATGAAAACTTATTGGTATCAATGAAGTGTACGGCCGCACTTTCCGACCTCACTGAAGAAACGTTTGTGTGAGAGTGAAGCCTAATCCCGACATTAACCCCAACTCCGAAACTACAAAAGATAAAGACTTGCGGTTTTCATCATAGGCTTAATTCTCGCAAAGTACTGCCCCTAACGGGGTCGATTTATTAATTTCAAGCCAATCGAAGCATAGGATCATGTTGAGACTTTGAAAAGATCGACTTTGAAAAGTACCAAAAACCACAACCTGACCCCCCACCCCTCCAAAACTGTGATTTTTGAGAAGTTCGTGAAAAAACTTAATACGAAAATCTAATCGGTTAACCCCCTAGACTTACCCGTTCCAAGATAAAGTATGGCCTTCAAAACAACGATTTTAACACATTTGGGGTTTTGGTTTGGGTTAGTGTTTGGGTTAGGGTTAGGGTCAGGGTTTGGGTCAGGGTTAGGGTCAGGGTTAGGGTCAGGGTTTGGGTCAGGGTTAGGGTCAGGGTTTGGGTTTGGGTTAGGGTCAGGGTTTGGGTTAGGGTCAGGGTTAGGGTTAGGGTCAGGGTTAGTGTTAGGGTAAGGGTCAGGGTAGTGGACTTGAAGGATGGTAGTGGACTTTGGCGAGGGTTAGTGAGGTGACCTTTTTTACTTCTGCGCATGTCTGACCTTTTTTGTGACTGCGCATGCGTGAGAAATTTCCAAAAATATTTCTAAGTACAGAGTATGAAAAGTGCCTTTGACTTCAATCTTCAAACAGGTGTAGAATGGATTTGAATAGAGATATTTTCTTAAAGTTAACTGTTCCGAAAAGATGAAAAGGCGATCTAGAGCATGAAAACTTATTGGTATCAATGAAGTGTACGGCCGCACTTTCCGACCTCACTGAAGAAACGTTTGTGTGAGAGTGAAGCCTAATCCCGACATTAACCCCAACTCCGAAACTACAAAAGATAAAGACTTGCGGTTTTCATCATAGGCTTAATTCTCGCAAAGTACTGCCCCTAACGGGGTCGATTTATTAATTTCAAGCCAATCGAAGCATAGGATCATGTTGAGACTTTGAAAAGATCGACTTTGAAAAGTACCAAAAACCACAACCTGACCCCCCACCCCTCCAAAACTGTGATTTTTGAGAAGTTCGTGAAAAAACTTAATACGAAAATCTAATCGGTTAACCCCCTAGACTTACCCGTTCCAAGATAAAGTAAGGCCTTCAAAACAACGATTTTAACACATTTGGGGTTTTGGTTTGGGTTAGTGTTTGGGTTAGGGTTAGGGTCAGGGTTTGGGTCAGGGTTAGGGTCAGGGTTAGGGTCAGGGTTTGGGTCAGGGTTAGGGTCAGGGTTTGGGTTTGGGTTAGGGTCAGGGTTTGGGTTAGGGTCAGGGTTAGGGTTAGGGTCAGGGTTAGTGTTAGGGTAAGGGTCAGGGTAGTGGACTTGAAGGTTAGGGTTAGGGTTAGGGTTAGGGTTAGGGTTAGGGTTAGGGTTAGGGTTAGGGTTAGGGTTAGGGTTAGGGTTTAGGGTTAGGGTTAGGGTTAGGGTTAGGGTTAGGGTTAGGGGTTAGGTTAGGGTTAGGGTTAGGGTTAGGGTTAGGGTTAGGGTTAGGGTTAGGGTTAGGGTTAGGGTTAGGGTTAGGGTTAGGGTTAGGGTTAGGGTTAGGGTTAGGTTAGGGTTAGGGTTAGGGTTAGGGTTAGGGTTAGGGTTAGGTATCATATAGAGGGGGGCACCTGGGGTGTAGGCTGACAATTAATGGTTGTGATATGGCTGGCGTATGAATATATGAGGGTTAGGGTTAACCCTAACCCAAATTAGGGTTAACCCTAACCTGGGTTAGGGTTTGGGTTAGCCGGATCTTTTTTTCTAACCCTAACCCTTTCAAGTGCGCATGCGCCGATATGTTTTGGATTCAAGGGTCCCCCAACAGTAATACATACTTAGTTGTATATATAGTAGTCTTTTTGTAACAATTTCCTGAAGAAGGTATGCCAAAATTTGCATATTGAAATTCAGGGGAGATAATCTGTTAAGGCTTATAGGCAAACTTTGAAAAAATCGTATCTCTGTTGTTGACCGTCCGATTTTTAAACTGTTTAGCGTTTTGGAAAGGGAATTCAATTGCGCACATTTTGATGTCTTGATATTGAAAATGTATCGGGGCATTCAAAAGTTATAGGTCGCCGAAGAAAACGTGTCAGAAACTGTGGTACAACTTTCCCTAAATGTTAAGAAATGATAGCCTTTCATGAAGGAGTTTAAGTGTCAAGCTGCTATATTTGTTGTATTCATCAATATCTTGGGCCAATATTTACCCTTTTCCTTGAATATTCTCTACCGGCATAATAATTTTATTCTTTATGTACCTCGCGATGAAAATTTTGTCAAAAATTAAGCGCTTCGTAAGTCTACGGTTATACTAAAACTTTTGTCGACAAGAATAAAAAGAGCCAATATTT